CAAATATAAAACAGGGACACTAACTAGATGGAGAAGTTATGTTGAATAAATGAGTTTTTAAACAGGATTTAAAAGATAAAACGGCGTCTGACGCACGGATAGCGATGGGAAGGTTGTTCCAGGGCAAAAGCACGGTCACCCCTAGATTTAAGTCTAGATCCAGGCTGAGCCAGGAGTAATTACAGACTTTCACACAAATTTGAAATACGGGGTTTGATTGGTTAGTATTTGTCTGTTTGTCTGTTATGGTTGTTATGAGTGTAGTGGGGTTTCTAAGTTAGTTTAAGCAGCAGGAAATCATTGAAAACTGTCGAGAAAACTGTCAATCGTTTGTGTTAGACCATTATGTTAACACTGAAAAACGATCCTCTAACTCAGGGCTAGGCCACTCCAGGCCTCGAGGGCCGGTGCAGGTTTTAGACCTGACCCAGGGTCAGCACACCTGAACCACACGATGAGTTCATTACCAGCCTCTGAAGAACTTCAGGACATGTCGAGGAGGTTATTTAGCCGTTTAGAGCAGCTGACACATCTAAAACCTGCAGGACACCGGCCCTCGAGGCCTGGAGTTGGACACGCCTGCTCTAACTAAAGACTCACTGACCGATTTGTTCATTTATTTAATTTTGCTTCACTTTATGGAAGTGCAGTCCTGAGTTGCTGTTGCTGTGGTTCTTCATGTTGCATGTCTAAATAATGAAATCAAACGAATACATTTTACTTCCAGCTTTTTCATGTTTGCATGCTCTGACTGCCGAATGCTTCAGGCAGTTCTCTTTATGTTCAAAGGAAGTAAGAACAGAACTATTTAAATACTGCATCACTACAAAAACTGGGGCCTTCTTAGAAATCTGTAAAAGAGACTGAATTACTCTGGTACTTGAGGTTTGTGCTTCCAGGTCTCTCAGTGTGATGCATTCAGTTGTTACCGTCTGAAGGTGTCCCTGACGACAGTCTGAAACTGACAGCATCGTTTGTTTCTGCAGATTCTGGGCTGGTGCATTATCATTATCGGCGCTTTTGTAGGACTTCTGGGTACCTGCTACAAAAACTGTCGCTCCCAAGTCAGCTACCTGCAGCTTAAGTTTTGGAAAAGCTACATGGACAAAGAAAAGGAGCGGTTTGATGCCCTTGCTATAGAGTACGCCACCAAACTGGCTGAGAGAAACCTGCAGAGTTTCTTTGAGAACAAGCCACCCGGTCTATTCCCGTTTCCCAGCCACAAAGCCTGGGAGGAGATCTCTGCATACTACACGTTTTCCAGGAGCGAGCAGTATTACAGCACCCTGCAGAGGTATGTGGAGAAAGCGGAAAATCTCCCACCAGAGAGGAGAGCCGTCATGGACGTAGAGCACGAAATAGAGATGAACTAAACAGCATTTTATCTGGAAAATTCAGATGTTCAGGGAAGTAAATAATGAACACACTGCATGGTGATTGTTCCTACTCAGCACTGATTTTACTGACAGTGCAAGTCTGACTCAGGAAAAAGCCTCCACAGCTGTCTCTTTATGACGACGCTGCCCCCCAGTGGTTTAACCAAAGAGCACATGAAGAGCATAACCACTTTAAAACCAAACACACCGATGCTGCCTACCTCTTTCAGACTTCATGCTTTTGAGACCTTTCATAAATGACACTGCTGGGTAAAATGTCTTACTTTACATTTTGAAATGTCTTTCAATGCCTTGAGGCGACTTTTGTTGTGATGTGGCGCTATATAAATAAAATTGAATTGAATTGAATTTTCAGAGTAACTTGATTAAAACACAAAAATCAGCCGTGTGCCATTTGAACATTAACAGCTGTAAATATAGTGTATTATCTGTAAGTGAGAGGAGAAGAAGAGGCCACAGGAGGTTTTTGGGTGCAGTGAAGGATTCCTGCTATAGAAGAGGGTGCAGGCTGTAGGCAGACCAACCCTGACAAGAGCTGCTGAATGAAGTATTGCACTAAACTGCAACAACAGCCCTCTGAAGACACGTGCACTGAGGTCTCTGAAGCTGAGGTGTCCCCAGCTTCAGAGTTGCTCTCCCAGACCACAGCAGAAACTCTCCATCATGGATCTCAGAAAAAGCTTCTCGTGTGCAGCCTCTGTTGGTCTCAGCTTGTTGTCAGCGTGGACGCACAGGTACGTGTTCTGGCACCACATCAACGTCCACGATAGACGTGGAGCTTTCACCGTCATCCACGAGCGCTCTGCACGCCTCCTCCTTCACCTCAGTGACACACGTTTGGTTTTATAAGATAAGATAAGA